CATATCCACTCCTGGGGGTGATTTTCGATCAAAATTAAGCAAGATTTCCGAAGAGTGGGGCAATCATGGAGAAATATTTCCAGAAATGTTCAGGAACTTTCGTGGAAAAAGATGTAAGCCCGTGCCTATTCTCCAGCTTGGAAAGTTCCCAACCAATTGATGTTGGAGTATCTTGACAATTTTCCGCAACGAACATATAAATTCTGAATAATATGCATCCCAAAAATACGAAAAATCTCACCGAAAAACGGAACGCAGGGCGGATTGATCGACTGGATACGCTTCTGCATTTCAATATAACGAGGTTCGCAGAGTTTCGCAAAACGATCGTAAGTCTTCACTTTTTCATGATCGAGACGCTGGAAACAGATAATTTTGAATAGCTCCATTGAAACTTTACGATTATTTGGTGACACTTTTCACAGCATTTTACTTGCAAGATTGCAGTGATGCCGGGTGCGCCCCATAGGGTGCTCCTTACGCCCCAGAAAATAGGATTGAGTCTTTACTGAATAGCATGCAAAGAAAAACCTAGACTGCAATACCACATTAAAACTTTCAAGGCTTGTTAAGGCCCCCTCCCTTCAAAAGTGTTTCGTTTTGTTTTATTTAATGTATATCACTATTTGTTACTTTTCTTTGTTAAGGAAACTTGTGGAGCATTGTGCCTGCATAAGGACACATTCCGCGATATCTGGGTGGGCGGAGAACCACATACACTGTGTTTTCATGAGTGTACCTTCCCTGTTCTTCTCTTTTGAAACAAGGAACGCAGCAAGGAGGAAAAAGTAGTGATTGTTGGTCCTCGACCATACGATAATCGCGGAAAATGCCCAAAGGGCACACAACGCTCATTGAGGAATTACATAGAAATAATTTAAGGAACTTAGTTTAACTAACCTCCCAGCACCAAGTCAGTCGATGACACAAGCCGAATTGAGGGCAGATTGAAAAGCGACAAGTCCTGTGAAGTTGTGAAGTTCTTCAAATACTGACATAACCTGAAACGGAAGCATTAATGAATGTCAATTCTGTCGTGGCTTGAGTGAGCACTGTTCCCTCGGCTCGGCTCTGACTCAGCTGCAATCCCAAAAAGTCGAAAATAGTGGTTATACATCACTGTGGATTTTTTAGCACCATGGCTATTTCTACGGCTTTACTTTTGGTTCCAGGGCCATATTGTGCCACACTGGCGTCACTAAATTTCATAGCACATTCATTTCGAACGCTTACTTTCAGGTGAGCTCTGGCTGTGTTCACGAGTGATACAATTATTTTGGACCACTTGAAGCCACAAAGCCTCCGACTTGGTGGCAACATTTACCTCACCAAAACCATCTACTGTGTTACAAACTTACACGGCGGAGGGGTATACAAGGGTGGGGGGTCGGCAAAAAAAAGTAATTTTTGTCTCCGCATGACTTCAAGGCGCTATAAGTACACCTTTATTAAATTTTTATCGGACATTTTTACTACCATATTAAAGAGCACATTAAATACTATAATGATACTCCGCCACAGCCTTCTGGAGGAGCGCCATCGAGAGATTCTGGCACGCGACCGCGATGTGGTACCTGAGATCAGCGGGGTAGTCGATTTCTCCGCCACCGTAGACCACCCTCTTGAAGTCCGCCCGAACTAGGTAATTGAGTGGGTTCAGGTCAGGGGACATACTTCAATATACATCTCTTCAGG